AAATCAGTCTCAAAACAAGATCAAAAATACTTTTTGGCTGATATAAGATTTTAAAACATGGTAAGATGACAGTTTTTGCAGTGTAATAGCTCAGAATTTTTAACTATTGTTTAACTTTAGCCTAACTACCTTGTAATTGCTTTGTATTCATACCATAAAAACATATTTCTGTCTTATTAATATCTTTATTCATGTATTTATTTTCTACTGTGTAATGTTTCTATTCTCAAATAATGTGTTCTGTTACTAACAATAACTTCAGCCCTAAAGTCTTGAAATAGCTTGTTTTTATATTGTTCAGTCTAAATTAATAATCAAAACGCTGAAGGGCAACGACACCAAAASAGTCCTCTTGTTGCACCTCTCCATTTAAGTTTCAGAAGATTTATCCCATATGTTTTGAAGTAATCTGGCTGATAAACTCTTGTTTTAGCAGAGGAGTGAATTTAAATTGATGAAATTTGCAACCTGTTTTGTATTATTGCTTCTCATAGTTTTTAGAGTTGACACATTTAAGTGAAGCTCCTGTGAAGTCTGACCTGTGCCTCTGGCCTGGTCCAGGTGGTAGTGCTGGGGTTCTCTCTGATCTGATGCAGCAGCGGTAGCAGCCAGGATAGCGTGAAGCCCGCTGTCTCTGGGAAGCGTGAAGCTGCGAGGTTTCCCTCCTGCGTCTGAGTCGATGCTGGCCCTGAGGGGCAGCGGCAGAGCTCTGTACTGCTCCTGCAGCAGGCTGCGCTGTGCCGGCAGGGTGGACTGCCTGCGGTACTCCATCTCCAGCTGCTCCCTGTCCTCGGGCTGCATGGGATCTTCCACGGGAAACGTCTGCAGGTAGTGCATCCTGGTGTTGCTCTCCATCTGGTCGTGCCACGAGTTCCGGTGGCTGCTCGGCTTCGGCCCGGGCGAGATGCTGTTGTTGCTGCTGCTTTCATGAGGCTCCGAGTGGTACTCCTCATGCGAGGAACGAGACTGGAACGTGTCAGAAGAGGAGAGGTGGCCACGTTTCGGCTCCAAGTAGGGACTTACCTAAAATACAGATTATTGAGGGTAGAAATCAGTAGTTTAATGCACTGGGTGGTATTTGCTGTGTCTTTATTAACCAGCTGTGCAAACTCACTGAAGACGCTCTGGGATACGTGTCATAAGGCGGAGGTGGACTGTCTCGTTTGGGGACTGGGGGCGCCTCTGTGTCCTCATGATCGCTCTCGCTCCAGTAATCTGAAAGGAATCAACAGACTAACGTTATCACTCACAGCTATAAGAAAAAAAAATCGAGCTCTTACWTGGAGAAATATGCATCATGAAACACATTTTACTGTTGGAGCCGGTCAGAAAAGTCAAACTCCCAGTAAGTGTGAGGAGGGGGATACATCTAAGGTGTGAAAACTTCATGCAGAGTCATCTGGAGGTGGTTTGGATCTAAAATAGAAGCTTGCCTGTAAAGGGAAAAAAAACTATCCCCCCTCTTCAAAAAACCTGTGACAAACCGGCGCTCACACACCCACCATGGCAGGGTTTTTACGTAGGCAGAAGGGTTAGCTGTATTACTTCCTGTTCGTTTGTAGGAAGCCAAGGAACATGAAGATATAAAAATAACACAAATACCATTCCGCCTCARCATGAAGGGATGTAAGGAATGTGAAATATATTACTTACTGGCTTGAAAAATCCCATTTACTGAAGTCCCTGCATCACGTCTCATTTCACACAAATTATTGCATCGACACACAATATTTCWTCAGGTTCTTTTTTGAATAAATCACCTAGTTTTTCTGATATTTTTAAAGAAATTATTCTTGTATTTAAATTAACTTGAAAAAAACTGGAAAAGGAAAGCTGTTAATGGAAAAACTCACTGGAACCCAGACTTTACCTGGGTTTAAAGGAGCCTAGGCTAGATTATACCACTGGTACACTACAGGCCAATTTATACCAAACAGGCCAGATTATACCCCACTGATACTGTTGAGTCATTTACACAAGAACRACTTAAGTTTTCAACATTTTCTTGGGGTTCAGTTTGTCAGGTGAGTTGAGTGAGAAAACTAACTGGTTTTCTTTAAACRCTAAACATATTTTTATTACTTCAACCAGAAAAACTTCAATCAGTAAAAATAATAGACTTTCACAAAGATCAAAGATTCCAACCACACTTCTGAGTCGTGTTTAATTACAGTTGTGCTGGGCAGGGATTACAAAATTTCAATCGCAAATGATCTCGAAATATCTTTGAGATTAATCACGATTATTTATTTTTTATTTTTTTTATTAAACATTACTGTACTATGGCTGAATGTGAATGTTTGTTTCAATACACTCCATGTGCGACACAATTTTCTTTTTATTTTCTTATTGCTTATTTCTCATTGGTTGTTTTTTTTCATTGCTGATAACTGGAACCTCAGTATCTATTATTCATTCCTCATTTGGAATGCCATTAAAAGCTCATTGAATTCTTGATTAATCTCATTGTTCTGCACAAAATGTAATTATGACTCAACTATGCGTAGATATTTTTCAGGTAGTGTTTTAGATTAAAAAATGGTGCATTTTCAGAAATGTTAGTCTTACTTTTTACATTTTTTCTGCCACATGCTCACAGCCACGTCTGCAAAACCCTCCTCTGTTTGTTATGATGGTTTTGAATTGAAGTAATATTTCAAGCTCGTTAACTCAATCTAAATAATCTAGGATTAGCTAGTGCTCGCTGCATTAAAAAAGTTCAAAGTTAAACACTGAAAACAACAAAATGATCAGGCTTTTTTCTAATAATCTGTCACATCATTATAAATAATAAACATACATTTACTTGAGCACAGAGTTACAGAGACTCTTAAAAAGATAAAACGTGGGCATTATAAATATCTTCAGWTAAAAATACCACATGTATCATACTTATATAATACACGTGTGTTGGCAGTTTGCTGTATGTTAGCTGTGTGTTAGTAATCATTAAGACAGTGCTGTTTTCTGATGACAAAAATCTTTTATCAGACTCACAACAACCTTTGTTTTTAAGGCCAAAGATCTCAAACATAAAGAGAAAAATCAAACGTTTACATGATGAGGCGTGAGAAAAGACAAAGCCTCATGCATCACTCTCAGAGGAGGGTCTCATCGCTTCGTTATGTCTCACCGCTCAACTTCACCCGCTGCTGACCCTTGACCAATAAAAATACGTTTCTGCAGCTTCTGGAGCAGCTCTGTGACTAATCTCACCTTGATCCTGGTGCATTTGTTCCTGCTCTGAGTAGCCTGCAACTGCCATGCTGAGGCGACTCAGCCACCTGTGGGGGAGAAACACAGTCATGACGCATTCTGGAATAGAAATACAAAAAACGTACTAGTGCATGTGTGTATTTSTCCTTTTGGCCAGTTACTGTACAAAATGACTGTTTCAGGAAGAGCGGGCAGTCAAGAAGGGAAATTCAGCTTGTGGACAATGGGTCTTTAATCGCAGGACTGTGGGGGGTTCCGACAGAGAAACCTCGTAAACTCACCGGGACATGTCATCTACATTTTCCGCAGCAAAGTAGAAGGTCTTTATCTTCGGATGGCAAGCCTTGAAAGCGCTGAAAGAGAGCAGTTTAATTATATGTAAAAAGCACAAAAAGGACAAGTACCAGAGCATACATTAGCATAATGCAGAACTAAGAAATGATTCAGACCGAGACAAAAACAACTTTTTAAAGGTTGAATCTAGCATTTTTTAAARGATTATAAATCCCCTGATGCCCTGCAGGACAAGATTTAAAATAAAGWTTTTAAATGATCTGTGTTAGGAATGACTTTCAGCTACTACCACACTAAAGTTTAGCTCTGTCARCATGACTTTATGACGTTTTTAGACCCCGCTGAAGAAAACGGACGGACAGACAGACATTTTGAATTCAAGTTTACCTGTACAATATGAATATCAAAGTACAAAAAAAAACATTTTGTTGGTTTTATCGAGTGTACTTTGTACTCACTATTTCCTTCTGCATTCAGAGGCACGATCAATCTTGAATTCAGGTAGGCTAACAAAGCCCTCTGCCTTCTCATCCTGACACAAACACAAGCAMAGTTTTATTCAAAGAAGCATAATTTGAGCTTGAACAGTTTTATTTGTTGTAAAAAGCCTCCTGTTCACCTCTTCATTCATGTACCAGTACAGACACGTGTCTTTCAGGATGAACCAGTACTTCTTCCACTTCTGCGAGAAATAGGTTTTAGCATCTTTCTTCTTCCACAGCCAGCCCTGACAGTCGCCCTGTCCCAGGTCCCTGCAGGAGATCCGCCGTTTGCTGATCGACGACATCGGACTTCCAGCTGCGGGTTGGGGGGAGGAGTGAAATTAGGAGGAAACACCACCTGCTCGTGTTCCAGTACCCATGTGCCGATAAACGAGACAGAATAAACATCTTACCTTTTTTTTTCTTCTTAGACCGTGTCAGCAGGGAGGAACGCTCAAACACCTGCAAGTTCCAAAAGAACAGAAAATCAAACAGCGGGCCTTCACGTTCTGACGGCTGCATTTTTCTCCTTGAATGAGGGGACTGACGTGATACAGGGACGTGGAGTCAGAGCTGGATGTGGACAGGGCCACTTCCATCTGGAGGGCCGGGACCAGCGTGTAGTGGGTGGGGCTGCTCCCTCGCTCCGTCTTCCTCCTGTTCTGACTCAGACTGCGGCTCAGGAGGAAGTTCTCTCCGGGGGGTTTGTCTTCACTCACAAAACGCAGCAGGGAATTCTCTGCAGGGAAAGAGGAGAAGCAAACACAGAACTGACCACTCTTTACGTTAATATATACTTTAAAAACTGCTTCTTTATGGTTATGATTTGGAACAAGCTACATTTATTTAAGCTTAGTGTGTTAATACTGATTTAATAAAAAACAGGAAAATGGTGTGAATCCTGATTCAGCATTCACACTACAATTTTTCTGTTTTATTCACTTTTCTGCACGTTTTTTTTGCACTTTAACTACATCTGCACACTTTGTGCTGTTTTAGCTTAAAAAACAACAGCAGCAGAATACGGCTAAAAGCTAAAATTGGCAATACAGTAACTAAAATCTAAAAAACACAAAAAAGTAGCTGAAACCTACAGTTACAAAATCTCTTGGTCTTATTTTAATGATGTCACATCCTTCTGGGAGTGCATATGCTACCAGTCATCTTTATGGAAATACTGGTATGCAAGTCTTTTATAAGTTTTTCCTTTTTTGTTGTGTATTATGTTTGTTTTGTCTCTTTTATGTCATCGTGGACCATGAGTCTATTGAATAAACTAATCTTGCAAAATTGCTGCAAACAGGAATCTGTAGTTAAAATCTAAAATTTGGAAAACTGTAACAAAAAGCTAAAATTTGCAAAACAGTAGCTAAAAGCGAAACAAAGCAGAAGAAGAAGAAGAAGAAGAAGAAAACCCACAGGAAGTCTCCTGAAGGAGATTTCAGAGAACAATTATTTTGAAAGAACTGGAAAAATCTCAATGTATTTCTATGTAAATAAAATTAAATAAAACAGTTTGAAAGTTACAAATAATAAAAGCTATAACACATTATTCTCAATCAAGCCACACATTTTGATATAACTATACTTAGCACAAAAAGTAAAGAAATTAGTGTTTGGTGGATTATTTCTTTGTTGTAACAATGCTTTGTAACAATAAATCCATTGGAAAACCTGTCTACTTCTCTTTTAAATGGTGCCACGTTTGTAAGGAACAGGCATTAGAGGAATGAGCAGTAGAGCTGAGTATGTGAGTTGTGCACATGAAAAAATTGCCAAATCCTCTCTGTCACACAGCTTATTTTGTTATTATTGAAACTTGTTTTGAGCTTCAGGTACTGCCAGGTCCTGCCAATCAGGTGCCCTGTGTAAGATTTATTGTTACAACAAAAAATATTCTACCAAACATACATTTTCTTACTTTTTGTGCCAAATATATAAAACAGGAAACAATGACGGAATAAACTTCCTCTGTTGATTTAGCTGATTTCCACAATATTTAAAGAGCATTAAAAAATAAATCTACTAAGGTGTTGCTAAGCATAAAACTCTCATAACACCTTTGCACTCTTGTCTCCTGTAGATAAAAATAGCTCTGTCTCTTTCTCATTTTTTTTTGAAAAGTCAAAAAGGAGCACTAAGCTTCCCCAGAGGACACAAACACATCACTCAAAGCTATCATGCGTCTGATTTAAAGCTCTACATTTGATACCAGCTTCAACACAATCCAGTAAAATGCAAGCAGTTTGAGAAAAAAATAAATTATACAGTTGCCAAAGCAACAGTGTACTTTTTATATCCAAAACGGACGACAGGCGAGCTGAGAGAGATGCTGAAAGAGGGATGAAGGAGGAAGAGGGAGAAGCGATAAGATTGTGAACATATGGAGGAGAAAGAGGCAGGAGCTGATATCCAGCATGTTATCAGCTCTGACAGGCCAGCTCATGCTTCTTCTTCTTGGCTCGGAGATCTGAGAGGGTGAGGGTATTATGAGCTATCCACCCCCTCACCCCAGCTTCCTGTGTCCTTCTCTGCCTCCCACTTACCTCTCCTGCTCTCCCTCGTCAGCTTCGTCAGGTCCTCGTTGTCTCCCACCCAGTTGTATTCCACTGGCATCGAGACGGGCCTGAGCCTGCCTGGAGAGACGAGGGGCTTTAATGTTATACAGCTGACACACACACACACACACACACACACACACACACACACACACACACACACACACACACACACTACAGATATCTTAAAAACACACACCTCGAATCGATCTGTCACACACTTACAGCAACATCTCTTCAAATGAGGAAGAGGTCCTACCATAAGTGGGAGTGCTCCCTCTGCGGACTGATGACTCCTCCTGGTTCTGGTCGTACTCGTAGCAGTAGAGGATAGAGTCCTCCTCCACCAAGGGAAACCGCCGCCGACATTCCTGGTCCAGGTAGGAGTTTGGTGACTCAGATCCCTCTGCGGCCTGGACATCTGTCTGGCGATCCTCATCCTGCAGATCCCCCTTGTCATCTCTGATAAAGATGTCCAAGTAAAAAAAAAAGGAAAGAAAACTGCTTTATCCTGATAAATCATTAGAAAAATCTATATTGAAAGTGATCTTGGTGACATTTAAGTCTATTTGTTTTTTAAATAGTTCTTGTTTTTGTGTTTTGCGTCTTTGTGAAGAACGTGAAGCTGCAGACGGAGCTGCTACACTGCAAAAAATGTCCACTTAACCAAGTTTTAAAATCTTATATCAGCCAAAAAGTCTTTTTGACCTTGTTTTGAGACTGATTTACTAAACAAGAACTGATCGTGTACGAATAATAATCTTGTTTTCAGAATGTGTAAGATTTTCTGCCAACGGAGTAAGAAAATTTTACTTGGTAAGATTCTTGAAATAACAAAAAATTGAGTCAAATCAAGTATTTCAAGAATCTTACCAAGTAAATTTTTCTTACTCTATTGGCAGTAATTTTTGACTTAATTTGAGTCAAATTTTCAGACTAACAAGACAAATAATCTTACACATTCTGAAAACAAGATTAATATTCTTACACAATCAGTTGTTGTTTAGTAAATCAGTCTCAAAACAAGATCAAAAAGACTTTTTGGCTGGATATAAGATTTTAAAACTTGGTAAGATGGACAGTTTTTGCAGTGTAATGTCTCCATAAAGGACACAGATAAGACAGGAACCCACACGGCGGTGTTCAGCTCCAAAGCAAATTATCTGTAATATTTGGTGAAGCCAGCTCTGCGTGTGAACTCCCAAGCGTGCGCATTGTGTTCACCTGGGGGTGTAAGGCTCTGCTGGAGGAGGCGGGATGAAGAGATCCTGCAGGGCGCAGCTACTCCTCCTGGATGGTGTGCTTAAAGTGCTGGTGGGCGTAGCGACGCTGCTGCTGGGGCTCTGAGGGAAGACGGGCTGCGCGTGAGTGCGTTTGTGTGTTTTAACAAGCAAAACACACAGGGTGAGAAAGAGACACGGATGGACAGAAAGAGAGAGAGAAAGACACGGTTTCAGGTGATGACACAAAGAAAATCTGGACGTCACAACAGAACAGACTGAGATTTGTTTTGATCGGACAGAGAAGGTGCTCTGAAACAAACAGGCTGATAAATCCAGTACTTATGTGCACATTATTTATCTTTTTAATTAACTCTGAACTGTAGCTTTACTTCCACAAGACACGAGACGACGAATCAGTGATTACATCATCATCATAATCCCTCCCACAAAACTCTCAATGTAGCACACAGCTGAGCATTTAAACAACAACAACAGGAAAAATTGAGTCTTTTTTCACTTGATTCATGAGGTGTTTGAAGCGAGGCTCGTGTTGTTGGATTAGTTTGGAAAGAAGTCGCGAACGTCTTGATAATTTAACTACCAGCTTCTGGAACCTGACCATTTTCAGCAAAATGGCATGCAGTAGGATGCACTGCTCTAATTAAACAAACACGCCCACAAAGTTCTGACCAATCACACTGCAACAACAGTGAGTCTGAGCCGAAACAAGACCAAAGTGGATAGCTGCCATTTTAAGTCCAGTCGTGGACATTTTAAACTTTTCCACGTTTTTGTGACTGCTTAAAATTTGTTGCGCTTGCAGCACTTGTAGTAAAATGTAACTATGTGATGAGCATGTTATGCAAAACTGACAGTAAAAATTAAAACAGTGTTAGCATTAACGGCTATTAAAAAAGGTTTGAGTTGTTTTAAGAGAGAAATGATCCATTTTCTTCTCGGTCTTGCTTTGAGAAACACATCCAATTGAGGTCATTCAGAGAGCTATCTGCAACAGATTAGATACTATTTGTTCATAATCTTTTTATAAAACCCCACTTCAAAAGATCTGAACCATTCCATTTACATAAATATTGTGGGTTTTGTGCAACATAATCAGCAATTTATACACACTGCCAGTTCTTTAAAAAATCCTAGAAGGTTTTTACAAAAAAAAAAAATCTTTTTTTTTAAATTAGATTCTTTAATTTAATCAAATTTTAAATAAAAGTTTCTGGTTTCCACTCGTGTCCCTAAAATGTCAGCTGAACAGAAAATTCGGTTTTAGTGGAGAAGATGAGGGGAAAGGAGGTGAGCACGACCGTGCTTCAGGGCCTCAGGGGGGAGAAAGCTTTTTCTGTGGAATGGGACTCAAAGAAAGCCTGGGCTACTTTCGTGCTCGTTCCTCTCTTTCCCGCTCATTCTGGTCCTGGCACACTGTCTGAATAATGGTGCTGGTTTGGCTGAAGTAGGACAACAGATGCTACTTAGAGCTGAAATGTTAACATCTAAATCAGTCATGCTGGAACCTTCAACCAATTAGTCACAAAGATAAATTTAGCTTCTATAATCTGTTTAATTAAAAATTTGAGATTGATAAAAATAGACTTATGAGTTATATTAGAATATAACAACACTTACTGTTGCCATTAAAACCATAAACATAGCTTTTGAACATTTTAACACAATATTGTATTCTAATCCTGTTTATTTTAGCATAATCCAGCATGTGTGTGTTTAAAGTTGGAGTCTTTCCAAGTCCTCTTTCCAATACAAAGACAGCGGCCCAGAAAGAAAAACACAAACAACAGAAATCTCCATGCATGAAGAGAAAGACTGGAAGCAGTCATGTTACCTGCAGAGCTAATGGTTTCCATCTCATGTTTTTGAGCAGAGCAGGAGTTGATGTGAGCGTGCTCTGTGGGCGCTTCTTCAGCGTTAAGGTGACACCTGCAGGGTCCCCACGCAACAGATTCACCAGGTTTTTAAGCTGCCAGCCCACCTAACAAACAAGGATAGCACAAGTTTATTTACCAAAACAGAGGCTTTTTTTTTTATTTCAGTAAAAATACTGTACATGCAAATATACAACAGAATAACCAGGAATGATACAGGCGAACGCAACACGTTTTCATAAATGATTATAACAACGGTTAAATTTAAATTTTTAATGTGGCTCTGTGGAAAGGTTATAAACAATTACACCCTATTAGCAGTCCAAATGTTTCCCCTGGATTACAGACATTGGCAGGGTGCTACTATACATCATAGTCACTTATCCTGTCATTACTCAAGTAGCACACATTAATTTTTAATTTGTTAATTTTCGTAGACAGCGTGGGACACACTCCTTGGATAAACGTAGGGAAACACTGAGATAGTTTTCTCAGTTTGTATATGTTTTTCCTCCATCCACACATTCAATCAAAAACACTGAAACATCCATGATTTGCCACTATGTTCACGTTAATAAAATACCCAAATACAGAGAAAGAACTAAGCTTGGCTAGAGTATTTTTCTTCAGAGTTTGCAATTACCTCTCAGTTGATAATTATTTCAGTTGATGATTATTTCAGTCCACAATCAAAGTTTATTGATGATTAGGATTAAGCCAGACAGACGCACATTAAACAATAAGGATAGCTTGATTGTTCGGCCTAAACTCGCTTGTGTTTGAAATGAGTCCCTGAATTCTTCACCGTCATTGCGACATGCATTTTTTGGACATTTTCCACATGTTTGTATTGTGTTAGTGAAGGAATTCTGTGCAATTAAAATAGGTTTGAACCAAATTCTAATAATAGTTGGCACAAAAAAACAAAATAAAAATGCTGCCCGGACGAACTGTCGGCCGCTGAACCAAATATGCCAGCCTCAGTTTGGGAAGAAAAGTCTTCACCTGCGTGGATGACTGCACTGCATTTTTATTTATTTATTTGTTTGCATCGTGCGTGTGTGTGTGTGTGTGTGTGTGTGTGTGTGTGTGTGTGTGTGTGTGTGTGTGNGTGTGTGTGTGTGTGTGTGTGTGTGTGTGTGTGTGTGTGTGTGTGTGTGCTCCCTGCAGCCGGAGGAACTGGGTGTTTTTCAGGCTCTGACCTGGCCTTCACTGTGTTCTTCTAAAAGTAATTTTTCATCTTGACAACCACCTTCTAGATATCCATCACAGAAAGTGCACAAAGACAGACTGACTGAAGCTGGACGGATCTCTGTCCTGTTCTATACCTTAAAAAAGGACTGCTCTCTCTTGAGTGAAAAATGTGCAGAACATAAATCCACATCAGTATTTCTTCCTTATTTTGAATTTGGGCTAACCTGAACAAATCTGATCCATATTCAGTTTCTTTAAAGTTTCCTCATATCTGCCGAAGTCTTGAGAAAAATCAAGGCCACATCCGTTTGTTCCTAACTCTCTGCCACAATAAATTAAAAGTATAAGCTGTGTTTATGTTGTTGTGGCAGTCACTCTCAGTGACAATGCAGTTTTGCATCATCAGACGTGTCAAACGTGTTTACAGACAGTATCGCCTGGATAAACTGTCAAACTCACTTCGGCTGCAGCTCAATCAGTGTCAGCCACATCAGGACATTTTTCCTCGCCAACATCTGCCTGAGAAAAGCGTGTCCCGGTTCTGCATCGGTCGTTAATACCAGGCTGTAAAAGCAACACCATAATCCAGATGTTTCACTTTCCGTTTGGTTTAACTTTGAGGAATCAGCAGCCGATAAAAGCCTGAAAGTGCTGGTTTAATTTAAATCCAAAATCTTGAGCTTCATTCACATATTTCAGCATTAAAATAGCTGCAGTATTTATATAAAACTTGTTTGGACACTTCTGTTGGTTCCCAATAAGGAGTTAGGAACTGACGCCTCTCTCTTCTCACTTTAGGAAGTTTTTAATCTCTGTACCCTTCAATAACACCAAAAAGTCCTGACACCCAAATCAACGCTGTTTTTCAACCTCTCAGTGAGAAAAATAAAAGCTCCATTCAGTGAATGAGTTGACTGACTGAAATGTGCAGCTGTATAATTATCAGACATCTTGCTGCTGCAAACATAGGCAGCAATTATTTTTAACAATAGGAGCTATATCTGAATTCTGTACGACAGGAGGGTTTTTTTCCCCTTTTTGTTTTTTCACATGAACTGAGAAGTACACACTTCAACAGCCACTTTCTGCAGATGTGTCTCTGTGGCAAAAAAAAAAAAAAAACCATGAAAGGATAATAAAATGTTTCCCAGCAGATAAATAGATGCATCATTGCAGAAAAAGCACAACTTTTGACATTGGCTCATTTTATTAGATCTGCAGGTCCTAACAGTGAAGGGAACCCAGTATTAAAGTACTTCAGCTTTCACTTTACAAAAAAGGGACGCATAGTCTAGAAGATTCATCTGATCGCAATAACTGTGTACAATATGGTCATGGCAAAAAATAACTACTTAAATCATGGACTTTAACATTTCAAGAGCCATGCATTCACAGTTTGAAAATCATTTAATGTAGTCAGTGAGATGGACTTTAAAGCCAGTGTCTTGAGTTGGTGATTCCAGATTGTGAGAATATACAGCAGTCACATTTTCAGCTGCAGTCTCGCTGAATTCTGAGGATTTGCAACCAAGCAGAATATGGACAGTTTTATGTATTAATTTTATATTGCACCCTGCTTAACCTTTGCTTTATTGTGTTTTGCAGGTACACATTTTGTAAGTGGTCTCATTGTTATGTAAAATCATCAGTGTACGCTGCTAATAGCGAGCGAGGTACATTAAACTGTCCAAATTACCCTGGAACTGACAAATTAACAAGATTATTTTATTTTATTTTTTTATAGCCAGTGCAAAACCTGCAAAAATTGTATAATGTATTTTCATTCGGATTATCATGCCCTTATAGAAATATAATAAACAACATACACATACAGATTAACACTACACACACGCCTGTTCTTCTATCTTCATGGGGATTAAACTGATTTCCTTTCATCTACCAGTTATTTTTGTAACACAACCCTGACTTCTTACCCTAAACCTAACCTAAACTCAATTCACACCTTAGTCCTAACCCACCATGGTATTTCACTCAATGAGGACTGAGCTTTTGTCCCCATAAACAACAGTGGGTTCTCACCAGACTGTGTACTAGAGAAATGGTCTAAAATCATCCTAACCAAGTAACAAAACACACACAGAGTGAGAGATGTGTGGATCAGAACAGCTGCATGAAATTTAAACAGATATTTGCATTGGGATTCTACAAAAAAACAAGTGAGAACAATTGTAGAAAGAATTCATTATGCAAATTGAGAGAGCAAACTCAAAAAAATCAAACAAGGCAGCAAGAAATAAACATGATCGTACCACCGTCTGATGGTTGACCTGAATGACCTCATCTCCAGCGTGGATTTTCTTACAGCGATCAGCCAGGGACTGATGGACAAACAGAGATCATTGTTACTATTTATAGCTTCACGGTACACCAGAGCATTTATTCAAACCTTCTCCAGCAAAAAGTATCTAAAAGCTGCTGAAATCTTTGCAGAATAAAACAGAAATAGCTCTGAACTATATTAAGTCTCCTTTTTCCTCACAGAAACATGTAAAATATGTATAAACCCAAATATTTATCTTCTGCCTGGTCAATAACTGCTCAGTATTAATTAAACCGATTTTTTAAGCTCAACCCTAGGTTTACCACATTTGTAACAACAAAAATGAATCACAACAAATCCTGCATCCATTTTAGTCATAGTTGCACCGATCAGCCTGCAGCTATGGCGTGCTTTCAAAACAGATTCAGGAGAGGGTGCTTCAGAGAGGAAGGGGTTAAGTGGAACACTCCAATCTGCAAATTAAGCCACGTGTGAACGAGCAGTGATGATGTGAACGAAAATGAAAACAAAGAGGCTTTTACTTACTCCCTCAGTGGTCCCCGTGATGACATGCAAACCATCATATGTTGATTTGATGTACATGCCCTGAGGGAATATCACAATAAAGTAAGGCAAACCAAATATTACTATAATAATAAAACAATACAGAATACAAATATTGCAAACCAACACAGACTACAGACCTGGGTATGCATTAATCTGCTTGAAGTGCAACATGGAAAAATTTAAGATTTATGTCTTCTTTCTTATTAAAGATCAAGTTTGCCTTAATTTGTTAACTGACTGCACATTAGCTGTAAAACATCCCAAATGCCCAGTCAGAATTTACTGTGCATCATAAAGATGGTCTCGCTCAAGGCCGCTTTCAAGCAGATTAAATCCAACATGGAGGATCGTTGACCTGCAAATACAGATGCTAAAACTCCAAAACAACTTTCATTAATGAGGAATTTAAAGCACTTAAACACACGGGATGCCAGTCTTTAAGATGAGTGGAGAAGTTGTTTTTTTAAGGGCACTTGGTTCAGAGTTGTGTTCAGGGTTCACTGAATAGACGGGAGGATGTCCAACCCAGGCATTTGTGTGTGTGAGGAGGAGGAGGAGGAGGAGGAGGAGGAGGGAGGGGCTTTTTATTGTGGCCCCGAGCAGGAAGCTTGTGTCTGAGTGTAGGTCAACGCAAAAGAGAGAGTTCAGGGTACACAGTGAAAGAAGCAATTCTTCAGTGGCATTTAGAAATGACATCTAAAAGGTGCATGTGTGTTTGCTCGTCGTTGCTTCGCAGTTTACACACTGTACATATTTCAGTTCACTCTGGTCAGAATCTTCTGGTTTTAATCTGTTTTATCAGCTAACTCATGTAAAGGAACAGCTACATTAAGCTATATTAAAGTCTGAACAGGACAGCAGGATCAACCTCAATATTTTATCTGGTAGTTTTCTTCTTTTAAAACAGTATTTTAAACCCTCCATTCATATTTTAGGAAACAAATTATTTCCAAGTAAAATTTGAATCTGTTTTTTAAAGCATCTCCCTCTAAAAATGGTGTCATATCCTGGTCCTTTAGCGCCACTATCCTGCATGTTTTAGAGGTTTCTCTGCTCCAACACACCTGATTTAAATGATGGTGATTAACAGGCTTCTGAGGAACTTGGAAAGGTCATTTAACCACTGAACCAGGTGTGTTGTCAGTCACTGGACTGACTCCAGAATCTGGACCCTGGCAAGCACATCAGTGAGCTCTACACTGAAAAATACACTTTTAAAAACAATCTGTAGCTCCTAGACTCAAATTCTCAGTAAAACCTGAGTGTCTTTAGCAGAAAATATTTTAAAAATACAATTAAATGATATAATTAAAATGTTCACACTTACTTTTAAATCATTATATTATAACTGGGAAAGATAAATTCTAAAGCTTAGCCTTGATGATGTATCATCTAACCCTTGTTTTATTTAAAAATAATGTCTTATTATAGTTATAACCAACCTAACTGTCAAACTCTGACATTTTACAATTAATTACTGAACTTTAGGAGTAAGAACCGATGACTAAGAACACCATTATAATTTGATTTTACAAGTTTATCAGTGTTGTTTTGCACTTTATTAACTGAAATTAGCATTTTCTTCTAGAATTTTGTAGTCAAGATGTTTATGAAATTCACACAAATGAAAAACTACTCCGTTGAACTTCTTTAATGACTTACGATACATTTATTATTTCTGCACACTTCACTGTGTATGTCTGTGTGATGAGCCTTACCAAGCCTTCAGTGGATTTGATGTTGGCGAGTGTCACGACCTCCAGATGTGCAGACTGCGACACGGATGGATCAGAGGACAGAGAGATAATCTGCTCGCACACTTCGGACAGAGTTTTACACTGATGGGGAAACATCGGAGGTAATTTAGTTGTTTTTTTTTTAAATTGTGCACTTTTTTAATTTTAATTTTAATCCAGGCGCACAAAGTTCGAAACTCACCACATTCAGGATCTTGTTCTCAGTTTCATACACGGAGCAGTCCTGAGGAGCATACAGAGAACCATGTTACCTCTGGAGAATTAGTCTAAATGGAGTTATTACTGGCATTTCTGCTGTAGGTGGATTTAAGCAGAAAACGAGCAGCTTGGCACCTACAGTATAACCCCCAACACTCCCACACAGGCACGCACAAACACAAAACAAATGAGTCACCACTGCGGAGGATTGCCTCTCTCTCTATCTGCAAGTCTTCCACTTTTTTAGCCTTCAGGTCCATCTGATTTCCCTTCACTCCCCACTTCATTTTCTCAGATTTTTTTTTATTATTCTCAAAACTTCAGATGAACATTACCCTCCTCAGACGCAGGTATCACTCCTTTCATTACTAATTCTATCAAACACAACTGACCGTCGACATTGAAGCAAAAATGGTGAAACCAACGTCTAACTCACGATGAACTACCTGATGGGATATTTTTACACTTGTTACAAATTTTCCCTATGAAGTGATTGTAAAACATAAAAGAAAGTGTCCATGTAGGTAAAAGGATAATACAAATAATTTGAGGTGGTCATCTGTTTAAATGTTACAAATAATGAATATCTTACCTGTTGCAGACAGCAAATTTTCTCAGAATGAAGAAAAAACCAGCATTAACCTGCTTGATGAGCTAACAGCTATAAGCTAAACCAGGGGTGGGCAATCCTGGTCCTCGAGTGCTGCAACCCTGCGTGTTTTACTTGTTTCTCTGCTCCATTCATTGAATTATCTTGTCCAAGTTCTTCAGAAGCCTGATAATCACCCATTCATTCAAATCAGGTGCGTTGGAGCAGAGGAACAAGTTAAACATGCAGGACTGCGGCCCTCGAGGACCAGGACTGCCCGCCCCTGAGCTTAACCAAGACCAAAGTGAATTTCTGCCATAACGCACACACGTGCACACACATCAACTAAAATTATTGCAAACGTTTTAATCAAAACACTTTATCTACTTTCTCCAAAGACCACTTTGATGTAATGAGTTACATGCACATACACATACACACATGCATATACATATATGCACCCACACAGTATGTATTCTGAGATGAAAATCTATGAAAACAAGTAAATAAACAGCACTTAGTATCTTCCAATTTTCACCTTATTACACTGAGTTATGTAAAAGTACTAAACATATGAAAGGATTTTAGATTCTTTGCTTTACTCTTATCATGAAGAGGATGTTTTGGGTCAGATTTCTGGTTTTGTGTCTCTGATGGTAAATGTTAAAGGCCCCGGGCTTGGGGTGTGCATCACGATCCGACTCTACAGTTTATTTACCTGCTGCACGATCGTCGTGAGCTCAAGACACAGCTGGATCACGTTGTTTCTGGTCACCGAGTAATCAGCCACTGCAGCAAAAGGAGACCTGAAAAAAAAGGAGCACCTGGAATGAACCATAAGACTGCTCTTCCTTTCAACACTCAATCACTGCTAAATTTCTGACGGCCAAATTTCCGTGCAAACAGCAATGCTTTTAGGAAGGAGGCAAATCATTTCTTTCTGTTAACAAAAACTATGCTCACATTGCTTGTATGTGTTGTTGTATTTGTGTTCATATTAATGTTCTAAAAAGCAGAAAAGGGCTTTTTACATTTCCTCTGCATTTAATTTGTCAACAATTATACATTATAAAAAGCATGAAAGGGAAAAAAGAACAGATTATGAATTTTAATTAAAACGAAAGCTTCAAATTATGTCTGCCTTCCAGGGAAAAGCAATGGTAAATCACTCTGTTACTTCTGTTGAGTGTTGTCAGCTTTGAACTTTCAAATTCATCAAACACACACACACACACACACACACACACACACACACACACACACACACACACACACACACACACA